ACTTTTGCTGGAGGGAGGATGTGGTTAGCTTTCTCTTAAACATTTAGCTTGGCCTCCATAGTCTTGTCCTTGGTGAACCTCACTGGTCCTGTTTTACTGGGTAGTTTGTGGGGAACAGCTGGCTAGCGGTTCTTCCCTGTTTTATTAGGCAATGTAGTTTATAAAAGTTGTGGCCTTCAGCTTAACCATATTCCTGTGTGGAAAGTCTTGTTCACTGCAGTGTCTGGGCCAGAGACGTTTGCATCACTGTAATCAGCAAGCATTTAAAACTGTTGTTCCTTAAGTGACCTTGGGTTAGCAGGAAGTAAGATGGAAGAAAGTCCTTCCAAAAGCAAGGATTTCCAACTTGAGTAGGAACCAGTTTTTACATGTATAAAAACAAGTGATTATTTACCATTTCCACTCACTTGTCCATCTAGTCAGCCTCATTAATCACTGAGTTTCACTCAAGGCACAGCCATCAAGCAGTGCAGAAGAAAACACTATCTGGTAAAGACATTAGAGATGATACTGCTGAAAAAGAAACAGTTAGGTTTTATTTGCAAATCTGTAGTGTAATTAAAAAAAACAGTTGCTTTCTCCTCCCTTCCAGAAATGAGTGGCAAAATCAACCTAATAATGCAAATATGTATTTTTTTTTAAATGCACTTTCCACTTTTCTGGCAAAAGTTTTGCTTTTCTTTTCCAAAAAGGACACTTTCCTCACTCAAACTGATGTAATAACAATTTCCACCTTGAAGAAGAGAAGCGTATATGGATCCCAGCAACAGAGACTTGAAATAGAAAAATTAATATGAAACACAAAAGGGAATGTGTATTGTTGTATAAGCACAGGAAGAAAAAGCAGAATAACAGTTAAAAGAATGCCTTATATTGGTAACAGAGGACATAGCTCCTGTCAATTGCTCTGAGAAATGTGTTGTTTCCATCAAGCACTGAAGGTGATAGCACAGATGACTTGGTATCTAATGACCCTGCATTCCTGATGCCTGATGGCAAAAAGGTTGAAGGCTCTCACACATGCTATTCCTTTTTCTGTTAGTCCAGAATTCCACCTCATTCAGCCTGATTTTCACCCTTTTCTCAGCCTAAGAGAAGCATATGTCTATTTCCTATGTAGGTAATGATTTTTTGCGCTTTCGTAGATACTTGTGTGTAGGGAATGCAACCTTTTGCTATATTCTAAAAAAATCCCTCCCACATTTGTAAAGGTCTAGTTTGCACTTGTAAAGTTTGCATTTGCAAACACAGTTGAGAGTGTATGCCACAATTACTTAGTCAGGGTAACTAAAGAACAAAGGGCAAAGGAACCAAAGGAACCATAGGGCAAAGGAACCAAAACGGAAACTGTGCTATTTCTTCTTTGAATTGAAACTGATTACCAAAAATGGTTTTGTAGTTAAACTGCAACAAAATGATAGCAAAAAAGTGGACTATTTCTCACTACCAGCTCAAAAAATGTCATATAGCTCTTCCCTCACTTTCTCTCAAGTATAGACATAGAAAACTGTCTACGCTGTTTGGTTTCACATATTTAGAAGTAGATTTAATTCAGTAAAAAATGATCAATTAAAGTAATAGGCCAAAACCTGACAGAGAATGAGTATGCAATTACTTCATTGTTTGTAGCCTGAATGAAATATGTGAATTTTTAAATTTTTGTCATCTCAGTTGCCATTGAGAATATTTTCAGTTTCTAGTGGATTAGCAGTGAATTTTCATCATAAAGAAATAATATAGAGTATATAGAAAGTAAAATAAAAAACCCCAAAGAGCAAATAAAAAAAACCAGACTGAATGTCAAATAAACCATATATATTTATTTAAAAATATATATTTATTTTCTGTGTCGTTGGGTAACCCAGGCATTTTTCAGTGAAAGCTCTATTAAAAATCACTGCTCAAGGATTTTTTCTTAGTATTGTAAAAATGCAGAAGAGTTTCAAATTATTTGCGTACTGCCATCCATTGTTTGTTTTTCTTTTACTGCAGTGTTCTGTTTGTTAATTCCAGTGCTTTTCAACATGCTCCAGGGAAAAAAGAACAGTTTACTTTACCTGTGAAATACCAAGAAATAAAAGAATAGCTTCTATTCATCCATAAAATGCTACTGATATTTAGCAAACAAGAGAGATTGCAATGACAAAAACATTTCTATTTGAAAACCTCCCTAGACGGAATTTGCTGGTAGCAACAATCTGTACCACTCTGCATAAAATTACCACACCACCCTGTTAATGCGCTTGCTGAACATCACAAGCAAGATGCATAAAGATTTGTAGTCAGACTGTTTGCCCTGTTATACTAGTAAAGTGAAATAATGGTAAACAACAGTCTTTGGTAGTTTTATTGTTAATTAAAGCATTAACTTCACCAGGCAGCTTTCATCTTGTGCACTGATTATTTTTTTATATAATAAAAAAATGATTTTAGTACATCCCTGTCATCCATAGACTTAAGAAATGAGTCTTTTATGGGTTGAGCTGTCTGATTACATTACAGTCTCCTGGAGTAGTTTCCATTCATCTGTCTTGGTAGTCAACAGCAAACATGCATGTTTACCCATATCAAGTATTCTTTGTATTTCCAAAGTTGTGTCTTAATGTATAACTGCTTAGTTAAATATATCAGACACACAGGCTCAAGACAACTTTTAGCCCATAAATGCTATATTAGAGATAAAACAGTTATGTCTATATTTTACACTGATTTCAGTGATGATGTTAATTTTTAATAAGCTTGGGTGATTTGAGGAGGAAAAATTAAAATAATTTAGGAAGAAAATTAAGTTTGGAGATGTGTATTATAACACACATTTCTTTGTTGTATTTCAAATGACAATACACACAGCCTGGACACCTGGAGCACCTTGCTTTCTGATCATCCTGATTTTGCACCCATAGCCTTTGATCTTGGGGGTTTAATAAAGCCCTATTTCTCCCCAAAAGCATCAGGAAGCTTTGAATTAATCTTTTATGTTTTTTTTCTGACTGAAGCAGAATCTCAGGGATACGAACAGTTCCACCAACGAGGTCTGTCAATCACCTGTCTGCCCTGGTGTGAAATGTGGAGCTTTTAAATGTCTAGTGATAATTGCACATCTGTTCATTATGTCACAAATCACAAAGGAAAATTTAGTGCTTATCCCTAGTGTTCTTCCTGCAAAGAAATGCTGTTCAGCTGAGTCCTGATGCTGATCTTGCTGAAGTTCCTAGTTGAGAGAACTTGCAGGACAATTAGGCTAAAAGACGATTTGATGAGTAAGACGTTTAATTTGATGTTAAGTATGGAGTGACAAGGATGAGTGTCTGGTCTTCCATTAGAAATTTAAGTCTTTTATGTGTCTACCCCTCCTTGTTTTTTTTTCCCCAGAATGTCATTGGGAAAGCATTTGGCCACAAACATTTGAATACATAAGTAATAAAGAACCTTCTTGATGCTGCTGAAGGTTGAGTAAAACAGTGTACTTGTAATATTGGAAATTTCAGACATACATTTCAAAAAGAAAGCCTGACGGAGACTGAAACAAATGCGGTTTCTATTCAGGCATTACACAAAGTTGTTCTAAAAATTCTTTAAATCCATTAAAGTACATTTATACTTTAAAGACTTCTGGCAATGACAATTATTCAAATTGTCATGTAAATAATGTCCAAAGAATTGTTGTTACTCATCATACTGGAAAAATAGGTCAAATAAGGGCTTGCAGAGATTTGGCACTATTGAATATCAGTATTAATGACTTTTGAATAGGTAATATGGTTCTTAAAGTTGTGGATATAACCAAGTTGGAAGGGATGGCATGCGTTTTGGAGGAAAAGATTATAAATAGAGTTATATGGACAAATGGTGCAAGTAGCCTGAAACATAGGATGAAAATTCGACAGGGAAAAGCAGAAAGCACTACAGTTAAACAGGCATAAAGCTTCAGCATGAATGAAATTTCAATAACAGGAGAGGATTCAGAAGTTTTTTTGTAAATCAGGATCAGTATGAATCAGCAATGTCATGCTGTCAGAAAACAAACATCATACTGGGATATATAAACAGGAGTCTCCTATGTAAGACACATGAAGTAATACTTCCACTCAGTATTCCCAAGGCCTCAACAGAAGTACTGTATCCAGTTTTTGGTACACCACGTCAAGAAAGTGGAGAGAGGCCAAAGGAAAGCAACAAGAATAATCAGAAGTCTAGGAGAGACAACCCAGGGAAAGACTGACTGAAGAGGAGTTGTTTAGTCTATGGGAAAGATGACAGGCTAAGGGCACAATGAAGTCTTCAAATACGGGGAAGGCAGGAGAGAAAATTATAACCTGTTCTCTGTGGACAGGGTGCAAGATAAAGTAAATGGTCTAAAATTCAGCTAGGGCTATGTCAAGTTTCTTACTGACTGCCTATATGAATACAAAAGTTCTGAGATTGTTTAAGAAAGTGGTGGCATCCCTAGAATTGGGATTGTTCAGTCTGCAGAACAGAAGGCTCTGGAGTGACTTTATTGAGGCCTTTCAGCACCTACGAGAAGGCTGGAGAGGGACTTCCTACAAGAGAGTGTAGTGATAGAATGAGGGGGAATGGCCTTAAGATGAAGGAGAAAAGTTTGAGATTAGGTATTATGAAGAAAGTCTTCCGTTTGACGGTGGTGAGGCATTGGAACAGGTTTTCCACACAAGCTGTGGATGCCCCATCCCCAGAGGTGTTCAAGGCCAGGTTGGTGGGATGTCCCCTGCCCACGGCAGGACGGGTTGGAACTAGATGATCTTTAAGTTCCCGTCCAACCCAAACCATGCAGTGACTCTGTGATTCAGTTTTGACATGTATTTATTTAGCTGCCATAACAAGACACACCTGCCCACCGGGCAGCTCCGCACGGCGCGGCCCCTCCCCTCAGCGGGCCGTAGCCCCGCCCCCGCCCCGCCCCCCGTTGCTCGGTTACCACGCGGGGCGTCACTGCGGGGCCGAGTCACCGCGGCGTGCGGCGGGGAGCCGGGCTGAACCATTCGCCTGGCCGCTGAGGGGACTGCAGTGGGGGCGTCCCGCAGCAGCTGCTGCACTTGTTGCTGTAGCTCGCGCCCTCGATCTACCGCCTCCCCCCTCTTCCCTGGGCTCTCCCCTTGGTCTCGCCCCGCGCGGACCATAGCGACGGCGGGCGCGCCGAGGCAAGATGGCGGTTGTGGCCCCGGTGCCGCTGCGGGCTCCGTGAGTGCCGCGCTCGCTCTGCGCCCCGTCCCCTCCTCGCTCCTGCGCCCGGCTCCGCCCGGCTGCCCTCCGCCTCTTCTCCTTGCCCGCCGGGGCCGTAGGGACCATGTCGGACTCGGAGGACGAGGAGAGTCCGGACCGCCAGCTCAAGCTGGTGGTGCTGGGGGACGGCACCACTGGCAAGGTCAGTGCCGGCCCTGCCGGCAGCTCCTCTCCCTCGCCGCGGTGCCCCGGGCCCCTTCCCGGTCTTCCCCTTCAGCGCTCTCCCCGGCTCTCCTGCTGAGCAGGGAGGGAGCAGCCCGCGGCGGTTTCCCGTCTGTCGCGCTGTCGCGATATCCGTCTGGCTGCTCCCCGTCAGCTCCCGGCCCTTCGCGGGAGTCACGGGCTCTCCCCGCCGGTGTCCGCTCCGTGCCGGCAGCCAAACCCTCCGACGGGGCTCCCGCACCCGGAGAGGCACCATCAACAAGTAGACGAGCACGACTTTAATCCAATTTTCTTGAGCCGTAAAGAAAAGAGCGGCGAATCACGTAATTCCTGTGGTGCTGACGGAGTTTCCCGCTGATCCCCCTGCGGTGCTGGTCGCGCGCTGGAGGCAGGAATTGCTGGGCTGGAGTCGCTGGAATAGCCCAGAGTTGCCCTCGGTGGCCCCGGGCTGCGGTCGGAGCCGAGCACAGGATTCGCGATTCCCCTCGAAAGGACGAGCTGGAAGGCTCCTTAGCTGGGTCTCCAGGCGCTCCTCGTGTCGGCTGCAGAGCCACCAACCCTTGGTGTATAGAACCGTCTGCGGCTATTGGAGTTACTGTTTCAGGGTTTGGAAAGGCACTGTTGGGTCCATTTGGTTTTTGTTTGTGACTTTCATGTTTTTGTTTTATTTCCCCCCCCCCCCATCTAATAATCAACATAGCGAAATACAGCTTGTAAAAGTTTATTTATCAATAAGTAGTACCTGCCTTTTTGAAAGAGAAATTTTGACAAAGAGAAACCGAAGTAGGCAAAAGAAAGACTGCTTTCTTACCATGAAAATAGTCACCGATCTCACCGATCTTTACCATACTCTTGAATGTACCTATTACCATATGTAGCCTGAATAATTTTGTGAGATACACCTGAAAATAGTAAATTTATTGTATGCTTGAAGTATACAGTTTTTCCTCTGTCATTAACTTTTGAAACAATAGGTAGTAGAAAGTTTGCCTACCTCACAATTCATATGAAAAGTGAGAAATGTCCTTAGAGCTGTTTAAATGAACTGCCTGGCGTTTATTAGTGAAAATACCTGTGTGGTTTTGCTCACTTACTTATTCAGAACCCTATGAAGAAACAAATCAGTTTTTTGTCTCCAGTGATTCTAAACCCAGTATGAAGTGGTATTGTGTTCATCTGAGTCAGTAGATGGGCAATTCCAAGCAACTGTGTGATGAGAGTGTAATAAATACACAGGATTGACAGCTGAAGTGCTGCTTTATTGGTAGCATTCCCCAGGAGTTTTCCATTCAAACTGAGGAATCCTTTCACTACTGTTCTTCAGCAACTTGTGGAAAGACCTCTCACCAAACATGGATTTTCAAGTGTTCTTGAGTTTTGATGTATATTTCTGCTGGTCCCTACCTCTCTCATAAGAGCTGTCACTCACTGAAACTCCTGCTGGCTCTAGGAGTCTCGTGCTTCCAGTGTAGTTATTGGGCATGAGCAGCATCGATGCTCTGGTGTGCTGCTTTTCCCCCTGTCCCCTCTAGATGATGCTGTAATAGAGTCTCCTTCCCGCCATCCTGATGGCCTGGAGCACACACGTGAAATAATAGATTTATTGTAAGATCTTGTAAAAATAAAGAAGTGATTGGGTCATGGAATGGAAGGATAAAATGTACCTAGTGCTATTTCAAGCACCTCAGAAGACTAAATTGTTGAGGTTCCTCTTCTTTGTTGGCTACTTGTTCTGCTTACTTGTTGAAACATGTATATCTATGTGTTTTCAACTCTAAATATCCTACCTTTCACATCTGGTTCACAGCTGGTCTTTACACACATGCACACTTAGCTTCTCTTTTACTGTGCAAGGTGTTGTTTTTTCTCTGCCTCTGTTGCTGGGATCATCAGACACGAGGAGTGTAGACAATAATGGCATAAATCTGAAATACTGTATCTTGTGTTCAGTGTGCAATGTTCGTGTTTGACTTCTGTCTTCTGCTCCCTCTCCTGCCAAAAAAAAAAAAAGGAGAGTGGTGTAGAATTTTATTTCCTCCTACTTGACCATCTAGGGTTGTCTGGTCTTTGCTTCTTCAGGAAAAAGAAATGTTGTTGTGAGTCAGGTGTAAACTTGCTTTCTGTTTTCCTCACCCATTGTTTAGAACCAGTGGGACTCAGGATCTGTGCAGGGATTGGTAGTATCTTAAAAACAAATCAGTGTCAGTTCAAACTAAGGGTAATATACTTCCACTAGGTGGGAATTGCTTTATCCATGAGGCAAGGGAGGGATGTTGTGCTTCAATTCGTTTGTTTTGAGGTGCTTAAATGAATGACTGGATACTTAGAATTTTAAGGGTCAGAATAAGCACTGCTGGAGCAAACTCTTAAGTAGAGAAGAGTAAAAATGGAAGAAGGAATAAGAGGAGTAAGACAGAGTAGAATCTGTAAAACTATTTGGGTAAAATAGAGACAGTAAGGAAATGGTGAATTGTTGAAAAGCAAAACTGAGGGAGACATGACTGGTTAGGAAAAAGATAATAGAGAACAATTTTTACAAACTAGGAAAACAATCTAAAATCAGAGGCAAGGACAATGTGAAATGAAGATAAATAGCAATTATTAATATCAGTTTTGTCTTTGATTTTGGCTACAGGAAGGAACATATATTCATACAACAGCCTTATGTATCTAGCTTTTAAATCAGCCCCCTCTTCCTGAGCCAAAATGATTTTACTTTAAAATAAACCCTCATTACCAGTATGGATTAAAAAAAAAGTTATGGTCCAGATATTTCTACTCTTTTTGTGCACAGATTGTCTTCATATTGAAGTATATAGTGGTACTGATTTAATGTACATTGCTTTGATCTGCTGCTGTTGAAAAAGATTTTGGGCATTTGGAAGCCAATCTTGGAGCTATTCATGGAAAGGGAGGTGCTGAAGAATAGGTGTGCTGAGGTTCTGTCTATCTGCTGTCTCTTGTAGGTGGGACTAAAGTATGGTAGCAGAAACATACTACCTTTTCCTGTTAACAATGACTGATAAAAATGAAAGAATGAATGCTTGAACTGGTAGGGGAATTTGCAGAGCTAAAACATAGGCTGGCATAAAGAGTGGTATCCTGCTTGCTTTAGGATTTTTTAGGATATCAGATTTTTAAGCATTGAACCAGTTCTGGATTGTCTTGTTACACTTGGGCTCAAAAACTTCATCAATGTTGTAAAAATTGTTGTCACTGCTGAGTCTTGCAAAATGAATCAAGTGTCCTATGCAGATTGGCCCAGCTATGTCAAATAGATCAACATCAAATATCAAAAAGTCATGATAATTTTCTCTTTTTCGGTGAACAAAGTTCCATCAGTAGTTGGGAGAGGATGGAAAGAGATCAGCTTGGACAGTTGTTTTTATGGTAGTTAAAACATTTCATTATTTAGCTTCATGTTTCTTCTAATTTTGTCTGTCCTAACATTTTTCCCAGTAGGATAGAACATGACTCAGGGGTGAGTGTTACTGTGTTTGGATAAGAGCATTGATGTTCTGGAAGGGAGTGAGGGGAGGGGTAGTTAGATACGTTACTTTTTGGAAATTGACTTTCAATTAGCTGGTGAAGTTGATATTGCATGGAAAATCATGACTTTGGAACTATGTGCTTGCACCCAGTTGAATTTAGGGTTGAGTTTTCTTTCTTCGAGCTATGATACTACACTTTGGCATTGCTTTCTCAAAGGCTTCTTCTATAGGATTTTACTCAAAGAATTGTCATTGGTGGGGCTTTTTCTAAAAGTTTCTGTGTTTCCGTGGTGTGTAGTCAGTTTCAGAGCTGGCTATCATTGCTTGTTCTGCTTGACTTACAATTTACTTCAATTTATTGACTTTTCAATTTATTTCATAGATATTGTTTGATTTTTTTTCCCATTTGTTCATTATGTAAGTCTTTAGGAACAGCATGTCATCAGTTTATACTGAGTTGTTGACTTTGGAAAATAGAAGCAAGAAACTGTCATGCCTTGCATATGAGGTTAAATGCCATCTTTTCTTCTTTCAAAAAAAACCTGTCCCAAATATCCCATTGTATTTTGCCCCTAGAATACTGTAAATTTTATGTACTATTTTTTACAGGTATCTTGGTTGCTGTATATTAGAGCTCAAAGACCTTTTCTTGTCTGGAAGGAGAGAATTTGTAAAGCTAACCTTCAATAGCGTATTGATATTTAGAATAGGTTGTCGACATTGACTTTGAGGTATTTAGGACAAATGTGTGAACCTGCCAAACTGATGGAATTTCTGATGGAAATTCTGCTGTGCAAGTTGGTGGCCTGGTTGTCTTAGTAGAGATGTGAAGGATCAAGGCCTTCATACTGTTCTCTGATCTCTACATTAAGGGATGGAATTGTATGGAGTACAATGTTTTTAGAACATGAACACTGCCCACTTATTTATTTTTACAACTACAGTTCTACTAAACTTGTTTTTGGTAATTTTTGTTACTTTTTACATAGGACTCAACATATCCTCTCAGGCAAAACTGTTGTGTAAAATCTTCTATAGCAAGCATGGCAGGGAACACTTTTGGGATTTGAAGGGAGTATTTGCATTGTAGAGGTACTTGAATATGCATTGACAGAACTTCTTTGTTTATTGTTGTAGAGAAGTTTCAACTGTTGCTCTTAGTATTTTGTGGATAAATGCTTGTTCTGTGAATAAATAGAGGACTCTAGTCTGGTAATCCAACACCTTCTTGAGCTCTAACATTTATTAGAAAAAATTTAAAAAGGAGTTAGTCAATGATTTTCTGCTATAAATTCCTTTGCATTCAACAGCACAGTAGAGAAAAACAGTTTAAGAGAACTTTGCCATGCTGTTGATGACTTACTTCTCTTCCAGGTTGGCTGTTAATTGAATGTATGTTGTTTATTTTTATTAACACCCCTAGAAGCTCTCAGGGAGTATTGAGTGTCACAGAGTGATAAGCTAATATTTACTGAGCCTTTAAAACAAGAAGGGAGTGGTTACTTATTTAATGAGGATCTAAATTAGTATGTTGGAGAATGTAGAATTCTATGATATAGTCAGGTGATACTTTAATCTGTACTGCAGGCACTGGTTACTTTTCCAAACAAGGAAAATTTCAAGGAAAAGGCTGAAGGTTGTATTTCTGCAATCTTCTTGTTCTCATCTACATCTTTAAGGTCATGACAGATCAAACATAATGTCTTTGCAATTTTGACATGCTGACTACTGTGATTAAAAGAATCAGCTCTACTGACTTTTTCAATACAATACTACAGACTGAATCTGTGTTAAATTTTATTTTGTGTGTTGTCAGTGTTACTGTCACATAGCTGAAGACAGAAGAATATTCTTACAATTCATCCTCTGTGGTCTTCCTCCTTTCCACGCTGATAAAAATATATAAGCATACTCTTGCTATTTGTAGTTTACTTGCCTTTTCCCCCATTTATTTATTTAGTTTTAATCCTCTCAGGGCTTGAGTGCTGTTAAGTAAATGAAAATGTTGCCATAATCTATAATTGGCAATTTGGGTTACTTCCTAACATATCTTCTGATATCAAAATATCATTCATTATGTATATGGCGGTGATAGGAATATAAATATGATATAAAAATAGGAACTACAATAGTTCACATGAAATTCAATAGTTGAATAAATCTTTATCTGTTCATACTAGAGCTTTAATGCTGGAGCTCTGGTGATCATGTTTTAATGCAAAAAAAGTAAGTTACCTTTTCTTCCTGTGTACGTTTGACATCATTAGCCTAATTTAGATCTTTATTGTAACCATCCTATTCATAGACCTTGCCTATTCTCATTTTTCAGAACTATTGGCATTATTTTGCTGTTGAATTTTTACTAAATGTGCTCTAACTGCAGTTTCTAATAACAATTGGTGTGATTCATCTCTTTGGGTCTTGATGAACAGAAAACTGGCAAAAAAAGGAAAACCTTCTTTCCTGTTTTTAGTTTTCTTGGGTGGTGTAAAGATTTTCTGAGGCTCATAGTCTTTTTTCCTCCCTATTATGTAAATGCATATTTAGATTTTTTTCTGTACTTAATTTGTACTTATATATACAAATGTCATATCAATAAGAGATTTGTAAGTGTACACCACTAATTTGATGTAGGATGTATTTTATGATTTTTAATAAAGTGAGTTTTTTTGGCAGTACAAACTTTTGTATTCTTTATGATTGTACCACTCTTTTCTCCTTTACTTTTTGTTGGACTTTCTTTTTTTTCTCTTTCTCTTCCTCCTCAGTTTTTTTTTTTTTTTTTTACCTTGCAGGGAGACCTTAAATTGCTATTCAGTTGCTACTGACACAATATAAATGTCTTGCTTCATTAGTTTATCAAGTTTAGTTGTGAATCCTTTTGTCAATATGTAGTAAAAGCTGATTATTAGATCAACAATATATTGGTCTGCTTTCATAAATGCATAAAATATCAATTGAAGAAATAAATTTCCAAAGTTCTGCTGCAAGGAGTGATTCTGCAAATGTGCATTCTTAAGAGGAGTTTAGTTTTTTTTTTTTTCTGTGTGCAAGAAAGTATTCTTCCCATCTTATACTTCCTGTAGTCCCTGATCCTGAAACTGATGTACAGTGGCAGGAATCTCACCACACTTAGTTTCTGTGGGACTCTGCACTGTGCAGATCTCTGTTGTCTCCCAGAGGGTTGGTTTGGGATCATGGTGTTCTATACCAGGGGATGACCCTTGTTTTGGAAATGAACGTTTTTAAAAATATTAAGATCTTCAGATACAAAAAATGTCACTTAGATTTGTGTCAGTTTGAGCATACTAATGATTCCTTATTCAGATCTGTGTATTATTTTTTAATATTATTCTTATAGTATTTTTGAAATCAGGAAATATGCACCTTGCTTCTTTTTGCATGAATTAGTAACCTCTGCCTCCTCCTGTTATTATGTTGAAGCTGACTGGACTGCTTGTCAATCCAAATCCACGAACACTGTTAGCATTCATTGATTTAAGAAGTGCTTAACTGTATTTCATACTTCTGGTTTAGCATAAAGCTTTTTGCTGTTTAAAATGACAACTTAATTTGATGCTGTTCTGTTTTAGACATCCTTAGCTACACGATTTGCCCAAGAAACATTTGGAAAGCAGTACAAACAAACCATAGGACTGGACTTCTTCTTGAAAAGGATATTATTGCCAGGTAAGAGAATAAAAACTAACACTGAAAGATTGGGTGACAGCAAGACTTGCAGAAACAGATTCTTCAAAGTAATGTGTACTCAATAAGCTTAGTACAGTGATTTTTATGGCAAAGTAAATTAGGTTGTTCAGAGAAAATTTTGTTAATACGTTCTTGCCAGGTGACAGTTACGTGTCTGCAACTTGCATCTCTAAGTAAAACACTGGGTTCAAATAAAAGGAATGCTGTCTATATTGATGACTTTTATTTTCCCTGCTTGAGTACACTCTCTGTCCATGAGGATAGTGTAACACAAAACAATGAAATGGAACTTTAAATATATTAATTGGAAAAGTGTATGTGTTTTGAAGGAAATATATATATTTTTAATGAAATACACAACTTCTGTTTGAGTTGTGTGAGAGAAGCATAATGCAGCTATGGAGTTGCAGCACTCTAATATGTGAATGCTGTTTTATGCAAGGCAGCATGAAATTGCTGGCATTTAATAGACCACTAAAATTTAGGGTCCCTTGGCACTCATAAAAATACAGTTTGAGCATTCAAGATGTTTCACTTCACGATGGCAAAGAAACTATTTAGGTGCCAGTTGCTGCACACTGCATGGAAAATGCAAAAAAATAATTAAAAAAGAATAGTTGCTGGTACAAGTTTGTCTTTGAACAATTGGGGATTTGAAATAAGTCTTTTTATTGATTGTGTTTGCTCCTATTCTAAGTATGCAAGTATTAAGAGCCTTTTCTTCTGGATTCAGAAATCAGAAGTTAGAAAAAGTATGTGTAATTATTAAAAGTTTTAGTGAGATTTGATAAAGTTGACTCAAGTTCTGTAGTTCTGTCTTTTTTCCTTGAGAAGAGTGGGGAGGGAAGCAAACCCAGAAACTAAACATTTTATCTATAACCTGAAGTTATAAGAAAATATATGCAATTCTTGAACTTGTTTTTTAAAAATTATATTGCCAATAATTTCTTCATTATGTTTATATATTTTCTTAAGTGAAACAGAATAATTTTTTCAGACTGTTCCTTCATTCACTATTTTGGTGTGGTCATTTTGCTGTACTTTTTTAGTATCTGATGAGTGATAAAGTACCAAATTCTAGTGCTTATTTCTTCATAAAATCAACAGAGTAATTTTTTTATTGTGCTGCTCATGCCTCTAAAAATACCAGTGTACATATTACTTAACAGCAGTACTTGCAAGTGGAATGTGTCCACAAATCATGCAGTGTGCATGCTGAGAACTTTTATTTTGCAAATTTTTTTTCCTGCTGTTAAGGATACAGAAGCTATTAGTACATTACTGTGATTCTAAATATTCTTGTTGAGTAGAAAATTTGGAAAATTATCAACTATTGCTTCATTCATTTTTGTTCGTTGTTTATTTTGTGTGTGAATTTCGTTCATTCATAGTTTATTTTGTAATAAAATCAGAATGTAGGTGAAAATAGCACCAAAAAGTCTGCACATCTATTTTCCTCATCATTAACAAAACAGTAATGTTTGTATTCATATTCAGGAAGAAACAATATTTGTAGGTTGTCATTCTGGTTTTGTTTATGCTTCTATATGTGTTTAGGTATATATAGCTTTCTATGTTTCATAGGTAAACTGGACTGGTCATGGGGAGTGAGAGGGAGGGAGGAAGGGAAAGTGCTAAAATTTCTAAATACTGGAGTGGGAAGCATTACTTTAGTAAGCGGATTTTTCTAATTTCTCGATTAGTTCTGGGTTTGCAGAGCTGCTATGTTTACTTGAAAGGTTAGTTGGTACCACTGCACAGAAATTACATGTGTATCAGCAGGGAAAAAAGCCTTGATTTATCTAGAAGGAGAATTAATGAATAACTGTGTTTCAGTAGTTGGTTTTTTTCCTTCTTCAGTGTAAGCAAAGATTTCAGAAGTTAAAACTCCCTATTTCTAGAATTGCACAAAAGTTTACATTAGGCCACATTAGAAATATGTTTTAGCTTGTAAAATAAAGTACTGTTTTTCTGGGGGTTTCTTGGTTTTTGTAAGGTAAAAGTGGCATTTTTCTCAAGTTGTTTTAGCAACTAATGCAGTTTTTCAGTGAAAATAGTAAATATTTTACATGATAATATAGTTTAATACAAATAGTAAATCCTTTGATTTTGAACAATGACTTCTAGTATTCAGCTTGACAAATTCACTTCATGCAGTTTGGTCCATTTTTTTTTTTCAAATGCAAATTGACTTCGTTATATTTATTGATGCAGAATCTTGTATAGTCTGGATGCAACCATGGTGTAGATTTTAGTGCTTAAATAGTGTATCTGTTAGTCAGAGGGTCTGCTGATAGAGTTCCTAAGAGCCATAGTCATATACATTTTGGAAGGTTGTGAGTGCAGTTCAGTATTCTTCAGGATTCTTCTGTTTAAAGGATTTTTTAAAAGTCGTTGGTGCAAAAAGTGGGCAGACTTGTGTTTTTAGTTCCATCCTGACTGTACAGCACTGTAAGTGAGGTTAACCAGTGCACCATGTGTGTTCTTGCAGAATCACTGCTACATTAGCCCAGGGGCTTCAGTTCATAGCAGAAACGATCTAGATACTGGCAGAAAACTTCATTTGCTACTGTCATAGTTGTTAATTAAATATTTGGTAGGCAAATTGCCTGGAGTTTTTCATTTTGTCTAAATAATCTTAGCATCCTTTTTTCTTCTCCAGAGTCAATCTGAGCACAAAGCAAGTATAATAGAATCTAACTGAAAAAAAGGGAAAATGAAGCATTTTGCACAGGAGATGATGAGCATGAATTTCAGGAGTTAGTGAGGTCCTAATTCACAACCAGTTCACCTTAAATGAACATACCAATCTTTTTTTTTTTTTTCTATCCTGTTTCTTTTTTCTGTTGTTAGTGAAGGAAAGTAAATAATTTCTAATAGTAGATTTTTTTAGTTGAACAGTCACTGTTAGACCATTTAATTTAACTGCATAAAAATTTCTCAGGTCATTCCATGCTGTTATCCAGATACTAAGCCCAGTATGCTGTTCATAATTATTACTCTTAGGAGGAAAGATGAAGTTAGAAACTTCTTAAAGCACTTGAACACAAAATTAGGCATCTGAAAATTGTTGAGTTTGAAAGTGATAATATTTGTAAGGCTTTTTTTTTTCAAAACAGCTGGCATGAATGACATGGTGACATTCCAGTAGAATACATAGGGGTAGAATACTACAGCATGATGAGCCTTTGAGCATGCATAATTTGTTTACCCACTAAGGATGTGTAGTCTTTTAGACTGTGAGTTCACCTGTTTATCCATGCCAGATGCTTTATGGAAGACTTTCCTGCATTGTTTGCAGGCGTTTATGTTCTAGCTTTTAAAAAACCTGAATTATTCATAATATATGCACTATCAAAACAAATATTCTTTTCACTCATGATAATTTTTCCTTTATTGAACTGGAATGTTTATGATGTGTTTTCTAAGCTCCATTTAGAAATTCTCTTAGTATTAGATAAAACTCAGTGTAGTTTAAAAGTGCTGTCTCACACTCATCTCTATATTTTTGAGACCGAAGTGGTAGTTTTGGAAATCTTCACTTTTATCCAGATTAAAGCCAAATGCATTATGAAAATATAGTGTGTTATATTTAATACCACAAATAGCATATATTCAGCTGTATAGGTTTAATTTTCTGGTTATTTTCATGCATTGCTGTGATGTATTTCCATGAAGCACACTCCCTTGTATAACCAATGTGAGCATGTTAGTTACAAATTGACAGCTGAATAGATCAAGCTGTGTAAAGTAAGATTGTTAACTATATAAAACAGTTGAATTAAGAATATATCTTTCTTAGCAGCCCAAAGTAATTTGTTCATTTTCACTCAACTCTCAATTGTTGTGTTGTGGAATTTATTGCATTTTTTTTAAAATCTAGGAGTAAAACTGATAGGCAGTTGTGATTATTTGTGCATAAGTAGAATTGATATTAACATGTAATTCGTGTGAGTTGTATGTAGATTAGAAAAGGTTTTGTCAGTCCTTACTCTATTAAGAGTGGTGTTCCCAGGTAATCAGTACAGTTTTGAAAACAGTTCTTACCATGCAAAATGAGACAAATTATACTTTAATATATTTGTATGTATAAGGTTGCGTACCTTTCTCTGTGTTTTGATCTGTTAGCTTACAGAATATGTATGACTTGTTGAATATTAAATATTTTGTATTTACACTGATTTTTTTATTAATTTGTTTTTAACAATCTATTAGCAGTTTCAACATAGCTTGAAAACTGTTTAGAGTAGGAAGGAAGGTCTATTCTTAGTACAGATTCTTTGAAGACGAAATTATGTTATCATGCCCAATTTAGGTTCCTGCTTTGGAGTGGTGGGTGGAGGAAGTAAGCACAGTTTGCATCCTCAACTTACATGTGTTACATCCTTTTTTTAAATCTGTCAACTATATAATTCTTTAGCTGTATGCTCCTATCAGCATCATTACCATAGTGAAGTTACTTGGTAGGTTTTCCTCTCTTCTGTATTTGTAAAGCTGATTTGTGGTGGGTTGGGGAAAGGACACATGGTATGAAAAAATGTGGATAAGTTGGCATTGATTGTGTTACCTTTCTGTTCCCAGCACTGTGCTATAGAATGTTCTCTGTAAAGTTTTACATGTTTCTTCAGTATGTTATATAATTTCTAGTCAGGAGTGTTATAATTTATGCAATTCTAATTATTTTCCTTTACTATTAAATATGTTAATATCTAGCTATAGTTTTACTGTGTCTTAATGACTTAGCGGGACACAAATGACTTCTTTCCAAATGATACAATCATCTACCTGTTGAAATGTAGTTCCTACTTATTGTAAACTTGTAAAAAACTATTGATGTTGATATGCTAGAGCTGTATTACCTGCTCTGATAATATATCTTTATTATATAAATTTTCCAAGTTACACAATATCTATAATTTTTTTTCCCCAGGAAATTTGAATGTTACTCTTCAAGTGTGGGATGTAGGGGGACAAACGATAGGAGGCAAAATGCTGGATAAATATATTTATGGAGCTCAGGTACAGTATAAATGCTGATAATTGTATTTATAGTAATGATATACAATTAATTGAAACTTTTTTCTTAAAATTATGCATACATACATCCATCATGCAGGACTTTTAGTTTGTTGTGTTATAAATCTCAAAAATTTTGTGAAGCTCAGGTAACTATAAATGCTGATAAGTGTATCTATGGTAAGGATATTAAATTAATTGAAACATTGTTCTTAAAATTATACATACATAGATACATTATACATAGCTTTTAGTTTGCTGTTTTGTAAATCTCAGAAATGTTGAATCTCTGTTCAATCTAAACTTAATTGATATTAATATGCTAATTTAATTTTCATGTATAGCTGATTTTTTAGAGCTGACATAAAAAGCAAAGCAAGAGTACGCATTTGTAGATCTGAATAACTCTCCAGAACAGATGTTTGTTTCCAGGCTTTGTGTCTTGAATTAAGAAAAGCAATCACAGTAAATGGTAAAGGCTGTTTGTATATCCACATGGTAAATAGAGTGGCTGCTTTTCGAACAGCTGCCTCCTGGGGGGAAAAAGTAGAAGGAGGAAATTAAGAGCAATCCTACACTGTTAAACTCATACATGCAACTGGGGTTATAAGAAGGCAAACAAAAGGAGGCAACCAGGTAGCTAAATATTTTTGCAGAACTCCTATCCAGTGAAAATTAATTTTATCTTGAGGTTAACTGAGAAACTTGAAGTGAATGGTGGGATTACGAAGAAGCTAAATAGTATAACATTATAATGTTAATATATATATATAATATTGAGTCATGAGATGATTTAGGAGGATGTATTATGTACCAAACTTCTTAGCATGAGTGATCTTAAAATATATTCTGTTCCTTAATTTGGACTTTGTAATAAGAGCATAACATATTTTATTAGATAAAATATACTTATGTGAAAACAAACACACCTAGTTCTTTTGTCTCAGTAATTTAAGCAATAGAAATATGGAATCCTAAAACTCTTATTGGACAGAAACTTTATATTAACAAGTATAATACAGAGATTAGGATCTGTTAGTTAATGGGATAAAGTCAAACTTGTCAATTTAACATATTGTCACTTTAAAAAAAATGTCTGAATGTTTTTAGCTGTTGCATCTGTTTTATAGCATTTTCTTTTTTTTAATAAAAACTGATTTGCTGCCTGTTACCAAGCAATAGGAGAAAGTGGCTTCCATGACAGAGGAAATTTGATTAATCACAAATTGTTGCCATATGCCCAAAGTAAACCCAGTGGAGGAAATAAAAGACTATTAACTTTGTTGGTATTGAATTTGGTGATAAACTTAGGAGTTTCTTATCAGAAATAACAGGTCAAAAGTTAATACCAGTGCCCAAAAGCAGTGAAAAAGTTGATATCAGTAATACTAAAGTTCGATTTTTCTAGTAATTCAGAACACATTAACAAAAAAAATCCTGTGTCCAATCTCTTCGACTTTAATCCTCCCTCGACCTTCATTGTAACCCTAATTTTTTTAATGGACTAGTTACTCCCACTGTTGGCATGTATTGCCAATGTCTGTAATAGACTTCTTATCATCAAAGCTGACTTCTAACACATTTTTCTATTAGCTTTGTTACAGTCCCTGCTAAAAACACATAAAACTATTTTTATTTTGATCTGTTGATGAAATGTCATGAAGACTTTGGAAAGGCACTGCTTTCAGCTTATTTCTAGGCAGAAGCTTATTGCATGTTGAACATCTGTAGCTTTTTATAAGAAAAAGGGGAAAGGTAAAGTTGAACAAGTGGGAGTATTTATAAGAGAAAATCCTTTTAAATACGGATAAAAATTCTTGTGAATGGACAGCAAAACAGCAAGAAAGTAATGAGGAAGAGGTAGCATGGAATTAGCAAGAGTAAAGTGTGCCCAGCCAAGCTGATTACCTTCTGTGGTTAAATGGTTAGCTCTGTGGAGGGGAGAGAGTGAATATTATTTATCTTGACTTCAGCAAGGCCTTTGACATAATCTCCCATAATATCATTACAATATGTAGAGATACAGGCGGGATGGGTGGACTAAAAATCTCAATGAACAACTGAACTTAAGGGGAGATGGTCCATAGCTCAGCGTCTTACTGGTGCCTGATTATAAGTTGTATTCCTTGGGGATTGGTATTAGAGTTGTGTCTTTTATTAATTTTTTGAACAATGAAACAAAACACTGTATGTGAGTAGCACCAAATTGGGGAACAGTGGTCATTGTGCTGAAGTGTAGGGCTGCTGTTGAGAGAGACCATGACTAGCTGAAGGAGTGGACTAACAGAAACCTTGTGAAGTTCAATGGATGACAAATGTCAAGTCCTGCACCTGCTACAGAATAATCTTATTCCAACTGTGAATCAACTGTCAAGGAGTCAGCTGGAGAGTGTGTAGCGAAGGGTCACGAGGCTGATTAATGGACTGGAACATCTTTCTTATGAGGAGAGGCTTAAGGAGCAGTAGTAACTGTTCAGGGTGGCAAATAGAAGGCTTATCTGTATATGCACATACATGAAGGAAGGATGCAAAGATGGCAGAACCAGGCTCTTCTCTGTAGTGTCTATTCACAGAACCAGAGGCAACGGGTACAAACTGAAACACAGGGGGTTCCTTCTGAACATCAGGAAACACTTTTCTCACCATGAGAATGAATGAGCACTGGCAGAGGTTGACAAGAGAGGTTGTAGAGTCTCTATCCTCCAAGATATTCAGAAGCCATCTGGACATGGTCCTTGGCAGCTGGCTTAGGTGCTTCAATAGGAGCACTGAACCAGATGACTTCTAGAGGTCCCTTCCAACCTCAGTCATTGTGTGAAATGGCTTTGGAGTGAAAAGCCCTTGGATGGGTGTCCTCCTGGGGAAAAAAACAACAGTCAAATGAGAGTTTGCAATGCACCCTTTTAACAGTAGAAGCTAACTGAATACTGAACTGTATTAGTAAGAATGAAGTAGTCAGATCAAGGAAAGTGATTATCATACTGTCTGATGTTTTTGAGGCTGCATTTGGAATATTGTGTTCAGTTTGAGGTTCCCCAGTACAAGAAAGTATTTAAAATACTGAAGTAACACAGTGAAGTTTGCTACAATAGAAGTATATGTGCCTATGATGTGTTGCACTTGGTCAGCACTTTTGGTGCAACTGGGATTTTAAACATCTTGTTTGTAAAATACACAAGCTGCACGGATACATATAGAGTAGATGACTTGAATCTTTTGCAGAAATTGTGTTCATCTGTGTGTTCTCCAAATCTAAATAATTCAGATTAACATGTGTGGAATGGTTTGTAGCATACCTAACAATATGCATCATGCTTTTATCCAGTATTTGCCCATAGCCTCATATAGACTTCCATCAGGTTGGTCATTGGGAGATTTGGGAATCATAAGTGGCAAAATTCTTTGTTTTATGCTCAGAAATCTTTAGTGTATAGTAACCGGAGATGGAAGTTTTGAGAATCTAAAAAGACACTGAAAAGGTTGTCTATGATCTACAGTTCAACCAGGTGTTGGCTGGAATTTGATAAGGTTATCAGAAGGACTAAGTGGAGCATCCATTTATACTTTGCTGCAAACCTTGCACTGGAGGTTTCCTTCTCTTTGAATGAGAGCTCAATCAATTCTCTAGGATAGATGTTTTGGTTATGTTACTGTTAAGATGCTGTATTTTGATTGAGATCCCTAACTTCTTGTGCCATGTTTTAAAATAAGAATGGCAAATTTGAGCATGAAAACCTATGTAATTTCCTTACATGGTTGCAGTTGCAGTTGGAGAAAGTGCAGTTCACCTGTTGTCTTGAAGCAGTTGCTTTCCCCAATCCCATTTTTTCTCTTTGATGTTGCTCATTTAGAACATTATAGTTGATGCATCTTGGTAGCTGCATTTCAGTGGTGGGTCAGAAGAATTTTGCAAGCTGTGAGGAAAAAGGAGCTCTTTGTTCTTTATAAATAAAAGGTGTTAGTAAGCAACACTGACAGAAAGCTGTTTAAAACTGGCACATTTATCTCAGAATTGAGAGAGGCTAAGAGTAATTGTGTAGTCAGTTGCCACAGCTGTACTGATAGACAGTAGCTCATTCAATTATGGCAACTCAATCACGTGTATTGAGTGACCATGTCCTCAGTATCAACAAAGAAAACAGTGGTTGAGTATATGTGGACTGTAAACTGTTTTCACTTGCAAAAATAGCATTTTTGGAAATGTGTAAAGTGTCACAATGCAGTTGCTTTTTACTGTATGAATATTCTATGACTAGAAAAAATACTTCAGAATTTTGGGCTGACATTTAATGAAAATGAATGAAAATTCGAAAGTTAATTTAGTTCCTTCATACTAAAGTCAGACATAGGATAAGGGTAGCTGAGGATTAATCTGAAGAAGAAAACATATCTTGACGTAAACTTGACACCTTTTAAATGTTGCTTGTCTAATGCAAATATATGCCCGTTACAAACACTTCCATAATAGCATTTCTGCTGTAAAATAACTGCTGCTGTGGTAAGTCTTTCAGAACCACTCCCATCTCTTACCTGTAATTGCTACCCTTACCCACATATCTAGTTTAAATTATCTTTAAATTCTGGTATATGCTACCTCAGAAATTGGCTTGTTAGTAGAATAAGAGTATTGCAGACTCCATTTTCTCCAGGAACCAGCCAATAATTTCTGCAATATTCTCAGTTTCCAGTGACCTATTTTTGAAAATGCTCTATAATTCCAAAACAAAAAGCACTCACATATGCACTAATGTAGGCAAAATGTCTCTCTTACTAGAGTGCAATTATGCAAGTGGGGACTATTTGCCACGTTGCTGGAGACTAGAGAATTAACGTGCTGTTCTTGGCATGTCAACTACCATGTGTTTCCAACCTTTTTCACTGCAGGAAAATACACTACTTTTGTGTAAAAAGGCCAGTGTTAATTTTCCACCTTAATTCCTCATACACGATAGGGAAATAACAGCTTTTATACTGTCTACTTGTTCTGTACTTCATATATTGTAAGCTTGTGGAAAATATGAAATTTTTTTGAAAGCTGTGATGGGATTTCTCTGTTAGATAAAAGAAGGTGAAGTAAATTTTAGCCATGGAGTCATGACTATTCCTTCATTAATTATCTGTATCATAGTAAGTTGCTTGTAGAGTGCTGTTGAGATAAAAATCTAAGCAGAAAGTATTCTTTATGACCTAGATGCCATACTGCCTATTTTTGCATCTCTAAGATGTCTTACCTGTCATCTTTGTTTCTTAAGCATAGAAGATATTGACAAGATTAAAAAAAATTGGTTAAGAAAGGAGTGTGCTTTAGAGGCAGTGTTTTAGATCACAGAGAAAGGGTCCAAAGGGAAATTAGGTGAACTCGAGTTGCAAACTTCGTTCAGTGATCCCTTTCGTGGTGAATCCCACTGTGAATACTTTTCTTCCAAAGAGGTAGGTAGGCTGCAGTTGTCTAGAGGACATGTAGCAGAGTAGAATTTTGTTGAAGGATTAGTTAGAGTTGGTTGACTTTAAATGCTCAGACTCTCTTTAACTTTTTCTTTCATCTGACTGATTAGTGCTGAAGATGGTTTAGATAGTCTGCTCTTCCGCAAGCTGGTGAGAGAAAATGACTGCTGGTGAAAGAAGCATTGCCCTGTGGTCTTCTTCATTTACAGTGCTCTTCTTCAGCCTTATGGCTGGTATTTTTTAACCTTTGACATACCTGTCCTTTAGCTTGAGTTTCTTCTTTTCCATTGAGCATTTAATAACGCAAGTATGTCCTTCCAAGAGCAAGACTTAGATTGTGAAAGACAATTATGTATGTGCACAGGCATTTGGGTAAAGACAGTCAGAAGAAGTTAACTGAGATGCAAGATATTAAGGAATAAATTGTACCAAAATTGGAAGAGGGTAGTTGGAGTTTAAAATTAGATTTGATTGCTAAAGAAGGAAAGATAGCAAGGGTAAAGTTGTGTGTCATAATTCTTAATTTCCTTGAAGGAATTGGTAAAAGCTGTTCGTTAGAAAATAGCAGCTATATAAATTTAAGGAACAAGAACTTATTTTGCCGAGGTATTATTGATGTTGGAGGAAAAGCAGTAGATTGGTATTGTTGTCATAAGAAAGTAGGAGCTGAAGAGATCTCAGTAGGATCTGTTGCCCTCCTTCACAGCTATACATGTATAATGCCTATTTAATATTTGGCAACCTTAAAAAATTTTCCAGTGTTGGTGGCTTCGTTATAGGTGGTGTATTTCAGAGCTTTGACATTCTTACTGTCTCCATAGGGTGTTTTTTGTTTGATTTTACACTTGCTGTAAACCTATTGCTACGTTGTTGTGTTGATCACAGGTGCGTAAGAACGTTCAGGGTAGAAGGGATCTCAGGAGGTCTGTAGTCAAACCTCCTGCCTTAAGTAGTGTCAGCTAGGGGATGCAACTAGGCTGCTCAAGGATTTATCCAGTTCCTGCCTGTAAACCTCTAAGGATGGAGACTGGGCAATCTTTGGGTCAACCCACTTGATTTTTGTAATGGTAAAAAAACTTTTCATTATATGTAGCTTGAATTTATCTTATTTCAGCTTATGCTCTTTGTTTTTCATCCCCCTGCTGTGCACTATTGTGAAAAGCCTGGCTCCATCTTCTTCATAGCTTCCTCATGGGTATAGAAGGCTGCATTTGGGTCCTCCCACAGCTACCTGCTCTCTATACTGAAGAATTCAGGTTCACTCATCTTTTCCTCCTAGGACAAGTACTTCAGCCCCTGATCATCTTGGTGGCCCTCTGCTGAACTTACTCCACTTCACTGATGTCTTGAGGGGCATAAGGATGTATTCTGACTGGATGCATTCTTTTAGATATGACCTGACAAGTGCTAAGTAGAACAGTTCCTTGGTCTAGTGGCTGTGCTTCTGCTGATTGAGCCCAGTTGGCCATCCTTGCGGGCAGGGAACATTGCTGGCTTGCTGTCTGATGAGACCTGCAGGTCATTTTCAGTTGTTCCCCAGGCAGTCAGTCCCCCCCAACCTGTATTGTTTATTCCTCTGCAGCTGCAGGACTATGCATTTATCCTTTTTGAATGTTGAAAGATTCCTGTTCACCCATTCCTTGAACATGTCTACACAACCCTGCTGTCAGGCATATTGGCTGGTCCTACCAGTTTAGTGTCATCTGCAAACTATGTATAAGATCATATACTAAGAGAACTGTTATCTTCTCCTGAAACTTGTACCAGCATCATCATGCCTGCCATCAGTCTTGTGTTTGTTAAACTGTCCATTTTTTGTCCAATTTTCTCATGTCAGTCATGGTTTCTAAAACTGATATTGTTACTGGTCTCTAGAATTATAGTCTACTCTTTTTTTGACACTCAGTGCCCAAAGCTGGATGCATTATTTCATCTGGAATGTTTCATGTCAATGTGATATTTGCAAAATAAGCCTGACATGTTCAAATGTGATCTGTAACTCCTTGATCCTATTGTATGGAACCTGCTACGAAGCCAGATGCTTCCTATTGTGCACTTGATTATTGCTTCCTTTGAACTTGTCATGGTATTTATTGAATTGAATTCTATTGTTTTTACATTGTTTCTCATCATATAATCTAAACTATTCTCAAATAATCTTACAGTCTGTACCAATTTGTTGTCATATGTGAAATTAATTAAATAAGTGTGCACTCTTGTGATCCAAGACACTTCTTGTGAAACTATCAGTTAAAGCTGGGCCCAGACAAATGCCTGAAAAAACTTGTCGTGAAAAATCTTTTCTGTTGATATTGGGTCATTGAACCAGCTACTTTTGTATGCATTATATTATTTATTCAGAGTATTTGTGAAAATTTCATGTGAGAAACAGTGTGCAATTGCAGGGTTTTTTTTTCCTAGGTGTGAACTCCATGATAACAAGTGCAACTGAAATTCTGATTTTATTCCTCATTTAAAGGATACTGACTTTATTAGAGTGCAGTGGAAGGAAGGGGCAGAAGAGTCAATGACTGAGATCTGAGAGCTGATCTGAGAATTGTCGAGGGGACAGGGATGACATTTGGGCTGTTAATAGGCTGTGCTTTATGATATTGGCTATTAGTGCTAAGTAATCCTCAGTAATGTCTGCTTTGAATATTTTATACCTGCAGCTTGGCCCAAAACCTCTGAAATATATGGGACTCCCTTCTTTTTGAGTTCTGACCGTATCTTTAGTTTTCTTTTGAAAGTTTAAAGCTCAGCAGTACTTCTTGCTTGTCTTCTACAGCACTGAAGGAGGGGAATCTGGTCTTTCTCCCCGACAGACAGCAGAAACATGACAGTCAGACAATGCACAGAAAAGTAAAATAGAACTTCTTTTTTTTTTCTTTTTTTTTTTCAAAGATGGGAAGAGTGAAACTACAATTAATATTAGCTAAAAGTCCTTCTCCAGTGCAATTTTTATTTTCCTATTAGAGTGAAATACTTTTTTGAATTTCCCATAAAGCATATGGAGTTTTTAATATTTCTGATATAACTAATTGTGCTCTTTACTGTGTTGCCGTATTTTTTTCTGCTGTTGTAGAATTTGGAACACATGGAATGCGGGACGGAAATACTGTAATGACATGTGTATACCTCAAAAGTTTAGAATCCCTTTAATTGACCCTCATAAGATATGATGCCATTGTTTGTCAATGCTCTATTTTATGATGACGATGATGATGATGATAATAACAATTTAGACTGATGCAAATTTTACCATGTTAAAATATTTTTACAATCTGTAACGTTTAAAATATATCTTTTTATTTAGGGTGTTCTCTTGGTTTATGATATTACCAATGGCCAGAGTTTTGAAAATTTAGAAGATTGGTATAATGTGGTAAAAAAAGTGAATGAAGAATCAGAAACACAACCACTTGTGGCCTTGGTTGGAAATAAAAGTAAGTTACTCATATTACATATTATTTGAAATACTCTGGATGTGGTTTGCTGTTAAAGAAATGACATAGGGTATATGTATTAAGTAAAATGAAACTAAATACTATCTTGTGTGTAGTTGCTGTATACAGAAGACATACTTGGGTACACCTGAGGATTCTGGCTCTAGGCAGACAGGTTACAGGATCTTCTGCATCATTCTTTGCCCAACCTTCAGCCTCTCTCCTGGTGTTCTCTTTGCTTGGAGAGCAGCACACAGGAGTGAACACTCGCCCATGCTTGAATTTGACAGGGCCCCAGGAGATAGCCATGGCATGTATCTGGAATGGAGATCCAGGAGCCACCCCTGTTTGTAGTAACAGGTATATTTAATGATTCTGTATGTCAAAAGACTGCAAGATTAAGTACTGATGTGTATTTAAAATAACTACACCATGCCTTAGGTGTAATGTTTATAAGTTGTTTATTTGACTGTTTCTTATGCCATGTGTAGTTTTGCATGAGGTGACTAACTTCATGTTGCTTCAGGATTTTTTTTTAACCTGTTCTCTTTTTGATCATATAAGTATCATATAATGGTTTTCTTATAACCAAAATATGCCACTTTAAATAATCATCACATAGTTAGTTTCCTAATTAGATGGATTCCAAATTCCCCTGTTTCCAACTAAGAAATCTTACAGAAACATCCTTGTTACCATCTTGGCTCTCCTACCCTCTTTCTATTGCAGATGATAAAAACAACATTTAGCAATTTTTGAAACAAAATGGTAGAAGCAGGTACATAATTTTTATGCATTATAAATATATTTATTTGAACAGCAGAAAAAGATTTGCTATCTTTTTTTTACTTTCCAAGTAATTTGTTTCCATGTTACAGTGACCATGTCATGAACAAACCTGAAAAAAGACCTTATCCAGCAAGTTAAAATTGTTTAAAAGCATTTGAAAACTATACAGAGACAAAACACTTTAATTCAGAACCATTAACTGTAATGTTGCTACAGTGATGCTGTAACATTTTATGATAATAATTATGAAAGACTAATTTCCTGTGAAGAAAACAAAGAAGCTTTTAGAGTTACAATATATACATAGCACTTCTGAAAGTGTAACATAGACAGTGTTGTACTCTGGCAGACCAGAGTCAATAATACAGATTCTGTTGAAATTCAAATGAAAAATATTTTTCCTTGATTTATATTTTGCCCCAAAATATGATTTCCTCGCTGGAGTTCTGCAAATCTTATGAGGTATTTACAGTAAGATACACTGTAACATAGGATAAAAAATGTGGGTTTTTTTCTGAAGTGACACCACAGAGGTAGAAAATCAGACACCAGTTTCCATTTGGAGGAATTTTATTTCTGTTATTTTTCACATATGCATGCCTGCATATCTTTAATATCCAAGTCTTTCCTTGGAAGCATCTGGAAATAGAATCTGGTTTCCTAGGTGGGTTTTCAGATAGTGGCTGACACTGGCTAGTGAAAGGGCTTTCATTTTATGAAAATAGCAACTGAAGGAACTGCATACTTGCAACCTTGTTCTTTTTCACAAGTTGCATATAAAGGTAAGAAGCAAAATAGTGCTTTTGTGTAATGCTAAGGATGTTTGTTGCTGTTGCACATGTTGATTATGCAGGGGTTACTCTTAACAGAGGTGTTTTTCTGCTTTATTTTTACTTCATGATGAAAAAAATTAGGCTTTAGAAGTGTGTTGCTTTTCTGAGTTCTGTAGGAGGAGAAGAATATCTAGGAGGGCTTCTACCCCAATACTAAGAAATTAGTGGCCTGCAAGAGGAAACTGTAGCCAGGCTCCTGTTGTTACATAAAGAGAAAACAAGGTGTTTACATAGAAGCATGGTGTTGACTCTTGTGTATTATGAAGAGATAAAACTACTAGTACTAAAAAGCTATTAAGAAGGAATCACTTGTTCAAATTCTTTACTTAGGAAGTGATGGGACACTGACATACAGTGCAAGAGCCATAACAGGTTTAAAGCCAGGAAAAGCCATTTGATGAACTGATGAACTTACCTGACCTCCAGCATCATACAGGAGAAATACTTTCAGTCAGTAGTTTCTATCTCAGGAATTGTACTTGGTTTTTTAGCTATACATGCCTTTTAGGAAAATATCCAGATCTGCTGACCTGAAGATTAGAAATGTCGATATACACAGGCAAGTTATTCTAACACTTAACTTGCTTTCTGATAAAAGTGTTTAAAAATTGCTAAGAATGCAGTTGTTTTCATTCACAGCAACTGGAAAGCTTTGGGACAGTATTTAGATACCTAGATAAGAATTTGGGAGCTCAGCTGAAATCTTCCATTTTGAAATCTTTACCTGAAGTTAGTTACTTAACTTGGGCTTAGGCTGTCCTTTGTCTTTTTTCACTTAGTCATACGTTCTGAAAGATATGCATACTTTTCCATTTTGGGGTAGATACACCTGGGATCTCTGCTCTCGTGCTTCAGAAATAGGAATAAACCTATAGTTAAAAAAAAAAAATCTTGGAAGAGAACAAAAATATTTTTCTTCACAATATAATGTAGAAAACTGTATACTTTAATTCTATTAGAGGAAAAGAATTACCTTGAGCAATTTTGTCATTGAAAGTAAATTATTTGAGATATAACAGTATATGGTGCATAATTGTGTACTAGCTGTTAAATCATGCAGTTTTATAGGTAATTTCATAGTGGTTTATAGTATCAATTTTTTGTCATTCTGTTAAATGTTAAGTTTGCAAGGATTTCTCTAGCATTCCACAAAACCTGAAGAAATTGTTCTGTGCTAGTATTGTGTTATTCTGTTTTGTGGTACTTTGAAATAGATTAGAAGCATGAACGTAGTAAATTGCCATGTTTGGTTTTAAGCGTGATAATTAACTTTGAAGTGGTGTCAATCTATTAAAATGTCTTATTGTGATTGCAAGAGATTAAGATTTAGTCATGAAACATTGCAAAGGTAATTTCTGCTTTAAAAGCTCCAATCAGTCACAAGTCTCCCATCCGTCAGAAATTTATTTGAAAATAGCAGAGCAGCATGAATTGACATCTAAATTCTGGACCTTCACTTGTTTGTTTTGGTTTTGGTTTTATGTTTTTCTTTTTTTTTTCTTTTTGTTTGTTTCGTTATTCAGTAGTAGCTAAAATGAAGGACTGCCATTGTCCTCTAGTTTAAAAAAATAATTGGTAAAATGAACTTCAGAGATGCAGGCATTAGTTGTAAAAGTAGTACTTTATGTACTAAGCATCCTAGATGCTTAATTTCAGTTTTATTCTTTCTTCCTTCCTGTACATTTTTCCTTTTTTTCCATAGCTTGATCTACACATGTGGTCAGAGAGAGTAGAAAACTGATTTGAATCAAGAACTTGCCCAGACCTATTTTCTTCACCTGTGTTCAGTTATCAGTTGATTCTCTGTCTTTCCATAGATTTTTGTCCGTGTGTTTGGTGAATAACAGAAAGAATTGTAAAATTTAATGTAAATTTTTTTTCCCCTATTAATTATAAGATCTTAATAATTCTGAAATTTACAGCTGGTTTTGAATCTTAAATTTGCCTTTCCTAGTAATTTACTTTGTGTTATTTGATTCTTATTTAATACAAACTATATTTGAAGTGTGTTTTTTTCATTGTTGCTAATACCAATTCCTTTGCACTGGAAGATGGAGAGTCAACTTTAATGTTAATTTTAACAAATGCTTTTGAGTTTCAATGCAATAGCTTACAACTTCTATAGATATATTACTGTCAAATACTTTGACTTCTATAAATGAAACTATAGTTATCAAGTGAATGAATTGTGTTCTGTGCACTTTGCTTAAATTTGGTATTGATAAACTTCAGTGATCACAATGGATCTTCTAGTCATTAAGTGTGAATTACAGAGGGTTTACTGTGTTTTGTATGACTGATGTGTTTCCTTCCTTTCTGCCTTGACTACTTTATATATTTTCTTCTGCACTAATCTATAAGCAGTCTCCTCAAGTGTCCTACCAACATTTTCAGTGGATGTATTGTAAACAAAAATTAACCCAGGTTGCTTGGGAGCCACACTCGTTTTGATTTATAGCTACTGAGATGGTCTGAGGGCGGTGGTTATCTGTAGCTTATATAGGGGGTAGGAATTATCAGGTACCAGTGTATAGTGGCTAGATGAGTGATTTCTATTCTTACAGATACTAACCAGATCCACTCCTCAATAAAGACTAATAACTCAGATTTTAAAACAGTCTGCATGACAGATGAGGGCACAGAGGAGAATGCATCAACACTAATTAAGAATGTTGACCATTTGTTCGTCTTAGCCATGATTAATTGATCTTGGAGTGCTATCTCTGAACAGGAAGTGGTGTGCTGTTACATTGTGAAGTTTAAAGGTTACATTTTAGTGTACCCTTTAACTTGCCTTTATAGACAATGTAAAATGTTTTTACCTATCTTATCTGAGTGCAGAAAGAAACATTTTCCACCTCAGATATGAGTTAATATTTGGTGTACTGTGTATTAATGTGAATCTGGCTGGTAATGGGACATGCCCAGTCTGCTTTTGGACTCTATTGCTGCCTTATATACTTAGTCTCTGAGTACATTTTCTGTACTCAGAAAATTTCTTCATTAATGCTCATTTTGACATTCTGGCTTATTAAAATGCAGAGTTATGCATTCACACTCTTCTCCCTCCCAACCTCACCCAGCTGTTTTCTGTTCTTGCTTCCTGTGGGCTTGTACTTTTTAGGTCTTTCACCTGTAATTAAGACAAGCGTTGAACAGGTAATGCAAAGAACCCTTTTCTTTTTGAGTCTTATGCCTGATTAAACTGAAGTTCCTGTATGCCTGACAGCGGGTCTGGTCACCTGAGCCTCACACATGCTCCTGGGATTGGAGGGTAAACTACTTACATGTAGAGACTCCTTTAGAAAGAAAACCTTGTCCTGTGCTACACTCAGTTTACCAACTCATTTGAATAAATGTAGAATGATACCCTGTTTT